ATTAAAAAAAAACAAACAATTACCCAGGGACGTGACAGGGAGGAGGGGGTAAATGGGGAGCTAACAATGAGTACCAGAAGAAACGTTCTGAAATTAATTGTGGTGATTGCACAACTCTTCTTAATGATGATTCGAGGATTACATTCTATGACATGTGAAGTACATGCCAATAAGACTATTGAAAAGAAAAAAGAAGTACCACGAAATAAATACAATTCATAAGAGCATCTGGCCAAGCCAGAACGACAGTCAAGTTGGCATACGTATGTACACATCCTTAGAAGGCCCTTCACAGGCGGGGCGTGTGTGCTCACGGGCATCCTGCAGCGGCTCTGCAACATACCTGTCGTGTCTGCTTTTCTTGGCCGATACGTCATCTCCAGGCGCAGGTCTTCTCTTTTTCCTCGGTGGCATCGCTTTGCTAAAGCAGTCCGAAGAACTGCAGGACCGCAGACTTCCTGTGGAAACCAACAGTCAGAGGGCACAGAATTAAGGGCCGCACGTGAGAATGTTTCCGAGAGAATCACTGCTCAGCTCAACACCTCCAGGGGTCCGATGTGATCTGTGAGTTCTGCAGAGTGAGAAAACGGTCTTCAGCCCCCCTTTGCAAGAGTCGGAGTCACGACACAACCCTTGCCAGTACGCAGCCCAAACACTCTCCTCAAACTCACCCAGAAGCAGGATTATCAAAAGCTCAATTTTCTCTGCCAATATACACTCAACTTCTCTTAGGCAACAATGTCCCTTCCAAAGGAATTCCCCCGGAATGTCATTCCTGCACTCCAGGCACAGGCCGGCTAAGCCAGCAATCTGGAATCAATGAGACAAGTGCAGTCCTAGCCCTCTTCAACTTCAATGAGGAGCAACGAATAAACTAACAGTATTGGGGTTCTTTGGAGAAAAGGAGTCTGATGTGACCTTAAACAAAATGTCCAAGTTGGGCTGCTAACTGCCAAGTTCTAAGCCACCAGCCACTCAGCATGCCAATAAGACTATTAAAAAGAAAAAGAAGTACCATGAAATAAATACATTTCATAAGAGCATCTGGCCAAGCCAAAACGACAGTCGAGTGGGAGAGCTGTCAGTAGCTAACAGCCCAGGCCTTGGGAAAAGCGGTGATCAGGACTGGAACCCACAACCTAATTTGCAGTTAGCCTTCCTCCATCATGCTAGGTTTCCCAGGAGACATGCTTCAGGAACGGGCCAGTCAAAAGCACCCTCTCTGTTACTAATCAGGGATATGGGGCTACAACTCACATCGGACAGGGTAGAATAGCCCCGGTGGGTTTCTGGGGCTGTCACTCTTTATGAGAGTAGAGAGCCTCATCTTTCTCCGGAGGAGAGGCTGGTGGTCATCTTGAGGTTGGTTAGCAGCCCAACACCAAACCCACGGCACCGAGTTAGAACCGACTTAATGATAGTGAGCTTGGTTTTGGGGTGCAGGGCTGCAAAGAGGTTAATCACTCGGTGGCTAACGGAAAGACTGGCAGTCGTGTCCACCAGAGGTGCCTCGGGAGAAGGCCTGCTGTCCTACTTTTGGACAATCAGTCACTAAAACTCCACGCAGGGTAAGTCCACTCTGATGCACTGGCACTGCCCTGCACTAAAACTGACTCCAGGGCAGCTGCAGTTATTTTACAGCCGGCATCAGGCTTCTGCTTGGCACCTGATACTCCTGATCTCCAGGCTTTCTTACACACACACACACACACACACACACACACACACACACACACACACACACACATAAATTTCACACACCTGTCTTACTGCAGGCAAGGCCTCTTGAAGGCCCCAAGGTGCAGTGTGATCATAAAATACACAGCCTGTAGCTGTGTGACACCCAGAATTTCCTTGGGGGTGGCAGACAAACGTGTAGTGCTGACAAGACCTCCACCCCCTGGCCACACTGTATGAAGTGAACGCTGAGCCTGAGTTTCCAGGAGGACAGCCATCCTGGGGGTACTCCCCGTGAGAAGCCTCGGGGCATTTCCAGGAGCTTGCATCCCGCCCCAGCCCTGTTGCCTTGTGTTCATCCTCAGCCCTGGAATGAATGCTCACTCCCTCCAATCCCAGACCAGGCCAACAGGGCCAGGGCACAATACTTGTGCTGGACCTAGAAAGCCCACACCCTTCCCATGCGCTCCTCGGGCCCCACACTGAGGGGCAGGCTCTCTGGCAGCAACCGTGGGTTTCCTCTATGCAACCCAGAACCCCAGCTTTTCCCTGTGTACGCTGCTTTTCACTCAGAAGAGGCCATCTTCCGCTCACGGGACCATCTAATGGAAGTTCCAGCCAAAATGATTTCAGCAGAAACATAAATGGCTTGGGCTCAACCAGTAACCCAAGTGTGGGTGGTCCAAACCCACCCAGAGGAGATGCAGAAGAGAGGCGGGGGTCACCTGCCCCTAAAATGTGACAGTCAAGAAAGCCTGTGGAGCAGGTCAGTGCCACCAAGGAATCAGAATCAATCTGCGAGCAACAGGTTTGGTTTAGAAGGGAAGAAGGAGTTCTAAGATACTTCTAGGTCTTCCCATTTTAAGAGGGAGGAGGCCCCATGAGTCTTCTACTGCCCCTCCTCTTGCTGCTGCCTGTGAAGTGGCTGCAGTGCTCAACCACCTAGGTCTGGACCTCACCGGCCACGCCCAATGGGGAGCCCAGGCCTCCAGCGATCTTCTGTCACCTACGCTTTGAACTTGGCACAAGAAATATCAAGTTATTTGGGTTTTTCTGTTATATGAACCAAATATGATCCTGGCACAGAAACTCCCAAGCAGCAGACTCCTCCAGAACACTCAGGCCAATCAAATGTGAAATGGAAGAGAGAGAGAGAGTGTGTGTATGTGTGTGTGCGCGTGCGTGTGTACTCAGAAAGAGGAAACCCGGGACAATGGTCTTCGGATCCATGGCTTTTGCTCCTTCCTGAGGGCTGGCTGTGCCCTCTCTGCTAATGACCCTATTCTGTGTCTCAGGGAAAGCATTTTCCCTCAGCCTCCCACTTGGCAATCAGAGAAGCCTTCATGAGCATTCCTTTCCAACAGTGGTTCTTAACTTTGTTTGTGTTAGGGAGGGATCTCTCCGAGTGCTGGGGGAAAGCCTCTCTTCCTCTCCTTCAGATAAACAGTCCACCTGGTCCCCAATGTTTTGCACAAGGAGTGGAAGGAGGGGGTGGGGTTGGAGAACCTTCGCCTGATCTCCTGATGCAATGCAGAGGTGCAGAGAACAAGCAGGAACTTGGGGTCAGAGGAAAGCAAGCTGGGAGGGAGGGCAGAGATGAAGCTCGCCCCGCCAAGGACAAAGCAGACACGCCCAAACCTGGTTTTCCTCTAGAAATCTTTCAGCCGAGAGATGGCTACTGCCAGTCAGGGCGGTCGGGATGGCAGGGAAAGCCTTTAGGCTGCAGAAAAAGCAATGCCTTAATGCGGAGAAACGCATTTACTTAAAATGCCAACCTGCCAAACCCACAAAAGGAGGGACTGCAGGCAACTCAACAAATGTGACCCGCCAACCCAGCTCCTGGGAGCCCCACTGAGGCAGAGCAGCAGCTAGGGCCTCTTCACGGGGATGCACAAAGGTGCCCCTTCACGGACAGGGCCCTGCATGGTCCATCTGTGCACACAAACAAGTAGGCCCTTCCTCCTCGCGTGCCGAGTAGACGTCAACTTATGATGATCGCCTCCGAGGTTAGACCACCAGGCACTTCTTCCACAGCACAGCTGGGTGGATTCAAACCGCCAACCTCAAGGTTAGCAGTTCAGGTACAGCACCTAGAGACCTTCCTCTGTGCGTGGTCAGTAGCAAGTACAGATTCTGTAGGACAACCTGCTTGGTAAAGTAGAAGGTCACGGACAAAGAAGACAACCCAGAAGGAACCAGAGTGCACAATCGCTGCAGCAGGGAGCCTAGACACAGGAACTATGGGAGGGTGGCACCGAGCCAGGCGGTGCTTGCTTCTGTTGTACAGGGCGGCTATGAGTCGGAGCCACGCGGCTGGCACCTCACAGCAGCACAGAACTTGACACGGAGATGCTCAAAAAACAGTTGTCAAATGACTGTACTCCTTACACATATGTAAATCAAGTGCTGATAAATAAAGCAGCAAACTTTAACTTAAAAATGGAACACTTCAAAGAAAAAAACGATAGACCCTCACTTCAGATTTTTGTTTTTACTTGCCAGTAAGACAAACACCTAGGTTTTTTGGACAGGTAGGCTTTCAGAACAAACAAAAAAACAAATATTCTAAGTGTTTGCTTTTAAAAAAGATCTAAATACATCTTACTATTTTGTTTTTATTTGTATCATTAAATTTTAACTTCAGTGAATCAAAATTTTATCATTCAATCAACCTCATGTAAACTGCCATCCAAGTGAAATAAATTAACACGTAAATAATTTAATGATGGAATATTCACCAGTATCAGAGGGTGGATTATCTCAATCCTTTAGGAGAACTTGCTCAGATGAAAACAATTTGACACTCTAACTGGCGGCAAAATATTTTAAACACGTTAATGTTAACTGCAAGGCACTTTCTTAACGATCTCATTGACCTCTGCAAATCTTAAAGTTGCCACTACGGCTCCAACTATACTGATAGGAAAGCTAACTGATCGAGTTAACCTGACAGTTGACGCTCAATAAATATTTCACACGTTAAAGTGACTCCCTCAGGAAGTTTAAGAAACCCAGAGATTCCTGAAAAGATCAGAGCTGCAAGTTCTTATCTTTGCCTATCACCCAAAAAAGGGCAGTGTTGAAATCGGCTTCAGAGATCCATCCTAAACAAGAGGAAGAGCCTGTTTATAATAATAATAATCTTCCTTCCCAGAATCGTGGCTGCTGCTCTGGTGGCTAGTCTAAATACTTCTATGTCAGATGAATCTGAAGTCAATTCTTCCATCACGAACAGCAAAGTCATTCTTAACGCTGATGTGGTCCTTAAAACAGTCATAGAAACCGTGTGTCATTTTTGCAAGGGCTATGATAGGGGTCCAGGCTTATTTCTTCTGGGCTGTACACAGTGATTAAAGAGAGCAAATTATATATTCTGTAAATTTTATTTTCAAATAAATCAGGTAGATAATAAATACAGCTGTTCCCGCCCACACTAAACAATTGAAAAATGCTCAGTGTGCTGCCAACACTTTTCAACCAAGTCTATCCCGGTACGTGTTCCAAAAAAAACCCTTTTAAAAGGCTACTGCAGTTCACCTGGATCAGATCAATAGCCCTTTAATGTTGACCCAGCTTGCTGTTTTGATAGTAAATTAAACAAGCACTTGTTAATAACTGACGTCTAAGTAGGTGCCCCTGCCTGCCGCGCCTGTCGTAAAAGGGGTCCTTGTCAGTAGTCACTTCCTAGAAGACCTACCAAACTGTAGGGCCAGTTTCTAGCCACCCCCAAACTAGGTAACTATAGAGCGAGGTAGTTTGTCTTACATTTTTCACTGTACTATGTCACAAAGATATAGTAAGTTGTTACTAATAATTACATTTTTAAGATATCCCAGTACAGAAAACAAATTTCATTTGTTTTCAACAGATCATTAACCTATTTGCATATTTGAGTGAATTATTTTCCAAGTGTACAATTGTAATTCTACTATTTAAGTCAGAAAAGCGTGTTCTTCCTTTTTTCCAACATTCTCTTTTGTCACTCTGATTGGCTTTTTAAAATATAGTCTATCTGGTTAAAAAAACAAAATAAATTTACCCATTCATATTCTCCCTCCCCCTCTCTGGAGGAGGAAAGGCAAGTGTTCCGGGCGGAAAAGAGCAGATACACAGCCGCTGTGCACTTGGTTTGCCTGCGCCACATGGTATCATTCTTCTAATCCTCTCAGACTATTGTTGGACCAAGAGATAAAGATGCACTGCAGTAATTAAGCTCTCAGAAGATTCCCAAACATCATCAATTTTACGTCAAAGGACTCTAGTTAGACAGTCACCAAAAGAGGATGCGACAAGCAGATGGGGAACTGTTACTAAGAAGTCACCATCGTTAATGGCAGGTGGGCATCTGCCAGCACTTCCTACACCGAACACCAGCTGCACCCACTGTCCCAACGGCGAAGGAGGAGGCATGAGGCCAAGTAAACTCTTCGCTCCCATGGTCCTCTTGTAACACAGTGGCTGAACACCCACACGCCAGGCTCCACGTTTGGATGTGAGATTGCAACAACAACAAAACTCACTGAAATCAGAAACTCAAAATCAACCTGAAGGCCAGGAATGCACAGAGTTCTCCTGGGTGGTGCAAATGGCCAACAAGACTTGGCTCCCGGCCAAAGAGGGGGCAGCAGGTCAAGCGCACCCCAAGGCAGCTTGAAGGTCTGGCGATCTGCCTCTGCAAATTCCATGCCGAAGACTCTAGGTCCCAGTTCCACTCTGTCACCCGTGGGCAGTCAGAAGCAGAGTCCACTCAGCGCCGTGGGGCTGCCTGGCCTTCGCAGCTGGCACAAAGACAACCTAGGGCCTTACACACACAGAAGCACATTTGAGAGTCACTAGGACACCAGTTCTCAGGGCCACCGACGTGCTCTTCCAGAAAAGAGAAAAACAGTTTAACTGTTCAAGCTGCCTTGAAATGTTTGTTTCCACATCATCGCCTGGGACCAATGTTGTTGGGTCCACCCCCGCTCACGGCAGCCCGGCCCAACAGAGGGACTGTCCCGGAGGCAGGCCCAGGCCGTGGTCTTTACAGAAAGAAGTCCAGGTCCACTCAGCATTACTGGCTACTGTAGCTAGAAGCGAAACACACTGACAGGTACATCGTCGTGGCTTAAGCACATCTCACAGCGTCAGTGAGGGCTGCAGACACAGGCACCCATGGCTCAGAAGAGCATGTTGCTGTGGTGGTGGTGGTGGTTGTTAGGTGCCCTGGAGTCAGAGCCGGCCCACAGGGACCCTGTGTACGACAGGGCGAACCGCAGCCAGGTCCTGCGCCATCCTCACCGTCGTTTTCACGTTTGAGCTCACGGAAACCCAGGAGCCAGTACAAAGGAAGAGCCAAGTCTTTCTTAATGCGCTACAAGCTCTCCAAGATGTGCTGCGGGACCAAAACAAGTGGCACATCCAAGTGTATACTTGTACTGGGGAAAATAAAATCAGGACTGCTGTTATGACCATCCATAGGACACAAATACAAGCAATGTGAGCCTGGCCTCCGGAGCACGTATGTGGAGTAGAACGGGGGCTGAGACTGGAGACGGTAACATGGGGCAGTGGCCTTCACTGTTGTCTACCTTTCGATACTTTAAATAGTAGCAAAAAACCCCCAAAAACATGTCCTTTCACAGCCTTTAGAATCATTACACAAATTCTTTTAAACTGCCACGAGAAGTTCAGGTGACTCAGGCACCCCTCCCCTGAAGGTGCCCCCTGCCCCTCCTGAACCCCTTCAGTCCTGCCAGTCACAAAGGAGGGCTCAGGCCACGGCAAGTGAGCCAGGCAGAAAGCGAGGAAGGGTGGCAGGTGCAGGCCTGTGTTTACCTGGCTGTGGCACCCACTGCGTGTCAGGTCATCTAATTCAGGGGAATTACTAAAACAGCTTGCTGTACACGTAGGCCTATTTTTCCAACAAAATAGTTACTTCAGTCTCCATCTGATTCTTGTGCCTAACTCACAAGGTCAGTGGCCCAGGACCTGGCAGGGTTTAGCAGAGGGTCTGTTGTCAACAGGGCTGCTGAGTCCGAATTCACTCCAGGGCACCTACCAGCATCAATTCTCACTTGGCTCTCAACCAGCCTGGAGGGGCACATGTCTCCACAAAACAGAAAATGAAGAGGGAAAGATTTGATAGCAGACACACAGCACAACCCCAATGATGCCACACTGGATTCAAAACCACCACCAGCACCACCACCACCCAAACGCCGCTTACAATACACACACGCGTCCAACAGCGGCTGTGGGCGACAGTGCGCTGTGGCAAAGCGGGAAGGTAGAGCAGCTAGTGGTGAAGAACCATGTCTTCTCATGCCAGGGACTTGGGTGCTAGGCAACACGCTCTCCAGCAAGCATGCGTCCATCTACCACTGCTGTCATTTTCAAAAGAGATGCGATGTATGTTCATAATGTTTGCTGGCAGTTTTAGCAGCTACATATCAAATACAAGTTTCTGAACTTCACGATACAGTGTGGAGCAGCAGTGCCAGTGCGGGCTGCACCCCGCCCCCACCACCCCCCCCACACACACACCTTCCCTGGGCATCACCTGGGAGCCGGTTCAGAATGCAAACGCTAGGGCCCCACCCTGAATCCACAGAATCTGATACTCCAGGGGGGTGGCAAACACTTTTTTAAAAAGCCCTCCCCAGAGGGTTATTTGAGAACCACAGGGACAGATAAATTTACAATAAGAAGGCTTCAATTTTCCCATCTATGAAACCTCAAGACCTCTCTCTCTCACACCACACACACACACACACACACACACCCTCTCTCTCTCACATCTGTTATGTCTTTTTGGCTCAGTTCAACAAACCCTTCTGAAATGCCTTCCAACTTGCATTACCATCACACCTTTTTGGTATACACTTGCGATGGTGGGGCTGAGAAACCTGTTTCTGGAAGCCCTGGGGAAAACCCCCACGCCCCTTTCAAGGCACTGAAGTGGCTTGTCAGAAACCAGAGCTTCAGAGCGGACCTCCAGCTGGGGAGGAGCTGGATGGAGCATGGCAGCCTCCACTAACCCGAGGACCCTCCTCCCCCTCAAACCACCACCTGTAACCATCCAGTGGGTGGCGGGTGGCAAAGTGAAGCACTCTTGGCTGGTGTTTGCCCTTCATAACAATCTGCCAGGGCATTTATTTGATTGGTGTTGGGGAGAGGTAGTAGCACACTATCCATACGGTATATAACACTGACTTACTCCCTTTAAAATGGGCAATTTTCTGTCACTTCAATTAAAAAAATCTTAGCATCTAAAAGTACCTGTTTGGCGATCGTCTTGGCCAATGTCTTCTGTTAGATTCTGCAAGAAATATGTCCATTATTACCAAAACATCAAAGCCCATACAACACATTCAAAATGTAAGTGTTTTCATAAACAGGCAATACCCCAAATCTAAATTTCTGTCAAACACACTTACAGAAAACAGTTTTAAATAATTGGTAGTTTTGTCTTTAAAAGATCAACTTACTAGCTTATTCAGGGTATGGTAGATCTTGTGAATATTTGCCAGCGTTGAGAGATGAGAGTTCAGTTGAAAGTCTTTCCAAGGAAAAAAAAGGGGGACAGACAGTGTCATTTCTTTCCCACACTGGAAAGATACTGTAAGTGAAAAGAAAGCTCCAAAGTGAAGCTTTGAACTAACATTTTGAAACAAGTGGACACTACCTCAGTTAATTTGACACTTACTACATGAAAAAAAAAAACCCCAACACAAAATGACGCATCGCCTAGAAATAAAGTCTATAAAGTTAAATACCAAAACAAATGTTAAAATTCACAAAACTGTCTCATGAATTCTAAGGGAAAGCCCAAACAAAAAACTTTGCACTAGCTGTAAAGCATGAACGTATTAGAAAAATACTGATACTGTGAGCTAATTAAACAAACCAGACCAACAGAAAACAGATTTCCTGACTTAACACGTGATCGCTTTGCCTTTCCTGCCCCAGAGTTTCCAAACTAGCACACTGCCCTGGAGTCCACTCTGACTCCCAGCAACGCTACCAGGCAGGCGGTCTCCAAGAATGTAACTCTTTTTGGGAGCAGACAGCCTACTATTGTTCTCCGAGAAGCAGCTGGTGGTCTAGAACTGCTGACCTTGTAGTTAGCAGCCCAACTTGTAACCAATCCACAACACCTCCAGGGCTCTCCTTCCCCCCAGCTACTGGTACAGCAAGAAAGCATCTGGAAAGAAGATTGGGGTGGTGGGGGGTGCGCAGCAATCAACCATGGGTCATTTCCTACAATACAATTATATAATAAGAAACAGACATATAATGTAAGTTCCTCAACCTCCCAATAACAGACAAATCAAAGACCATCTTGCCTGCTCCCACCCAGTCGGATGGGCTAGAGCTCGGTGATGCAGTCTGCAGAGGCACACAGCATCCAACAGACACCTGCGCTAGGGGCTTAACGATGCATCCAGATCAAAGAATGTACCCAAATATCATCTCCAATGCTTTCGGAACAGCACACTAACTCTCACACACAATTAATTAAATTGCTTCATCTTAGGATCCCACAATATAAAGCTTTGTTAAACCTTGAGTCTTTTGAATCTCTCATTTAACACTTATAAACTGCACAGTCAGCCTTCAGTGAAGGAAGCAGCTCTGGTAGTGCAGTGGGTTAGGCATGGGGCTGCCAACTGCAAGGTCAGCAGTTGAACCCACCAGCCCGTCCCTTGGGAGAAAGACCAGGCTTTCTCCTCCTGTAAAAAGTTAGCCTCTCAGAAACCCCAGTTCTACTCTGTACCGATAGCCTCCCTGTGGATCAGCATGGGCTTGATGGCAATGGTCTTTATTTCAGGGAACTCTGTGAGTCCCACATGCAAAGGCCAAAAATATGATGGTGGGTGGGGGAGATATATATCAAAGCCAAATCTGCTACGGATGATTTACATGTGTGAAGGAGGATATGCCTGAATCACACAAGTCCAAGGGACTTGAGCATCCTGAATTTTTCAGTCCACTGGGTTCTGGAGCCCATCCCCCAGGATGCCCAGAGACCACTGAACTTGTATCCACACAGGCTCTGCAACCACTATGAGGGGGCTTCAAAAATCTCAGCAATGAAAAGATCATGAGATTCTCCCATAAGCATCATAAAGCCTCTGTATGAGTTAAAAGCGTATGAATACTTTAATATTTGACTAGGCATCAATAGAATTATTGTAAAAATAAGAATTTACATTAAGACTCTAGCTTTTCTGTCAAAAGCTGAGTCTAAATGTCACCTTAAATTGAAAACTCATTACTATAAATTTCCAAGTTATGCTATTCTGGTGGGAAAAGTCACCCTTCAGCGTTCAATTTGGGGCACACATCAGCACCAAAGAGCAGGTACTACACATTGTCTATGCTGGAACTGGACCGGCTTGGCTGGATTGCTACCTCAAGTAGTGAAACAAGCTAGCTTCCCTCCAGTATTTATCCAAGATTTACTTTTACTGCTAAAACATGTTAGGAATCCATTTCTGGGAAGGCCTTCCCGGCTGAGGGGCCAGCAGAGAACATAGCCCTAAACATATTCATTCTCTCTCTCTCTCTCTCTCTCTCTCTCTCTCTCTCTCTCTCACACACACACACACACACACACACACACACACACACACACACACACACACACGCATGCTATAGGGCAGCAGTCTCACCCATCAAGAATGGTCCAAAGAACCAGGGTTTGGGGTTCAACCAGAGCAAGGCCTTAGGCTCTGCATGGGTCCAAAATCAAGTAAAGGCACGTGTCACTATTTGGCATCTGAATGGTTCAGCCAGGCTGAAGGTAAATAAATGGCTTAATAATGTGTCGGAGAATCTGGCTTATTCATTTTGTGCAACTGCCCAGAAGAGCAAGGGAGGCCGATGAATACACATGGAGAGGGGTCGGGTCTCTGAGCTGGAAGAGACTGCCCACTTCGAACCCACAGGGGGATATGGGGAACTCAAATTCTTAAGCCTGCCTGCCCCAACCCCCAAAATCAAAACAAAGAAAAGTCTAGGCTCTTAGATTCTTTTTTCCGAGGAGGGAAACTAGGTCCTTTTTTTCCTCACCAAAGGCACACAGAAGGCAAGAAATCTAAGGGGACTTGCCAAAGGCCACCCAAGCAATGAAGTCTCATGACCCCATGCTAGGTTTCTGTCTTGTTACCACCCTGCTGCTATTTCAACTGTCAACATTCCCATAAGAGAAGCCAAACAAATCAAAATCGCTAACTCCTTCCCCCTCCTTTATCTGAATAGGGAGGAAGTAGAGAAAATGGGAAACACAAGATGTTCTCAAGTCAGAATTCTAGGACTTCCATGAACTGGGCAGCAGGTCCTTCAAGCTTTTGTGGCCATGCCATTCTTTCTCTCTCTCTTACACACACACACACACACACACACACGCACACGCACACGCACTCACGCACGCGCACTATGATCGAACGCATCCACACAGTTCCTCACAAAAGACCAGAGTACAACCTAGCTCAACTATTACAGCTGTGCTTTGAATTTGAGATCTTCAAAGGCCTTAAAAAGTTAGTGGCAAACATTCCATTTTCCTCAAACTTTTTGAAACCCCCTCCCTATCAATTACTTAACCTAAATACCAGTTTATCTATAAGGCTAAGAACCACCAAGGTCCACTAAAAAGGTCTCTGTAAGAATAGAAAGGGAACCTGGATTTAGGGGAAATACTATTAGGAAGGGGGTTATGTGGCAATCTCTAAAATCACAGAAAATGTCAATACCTGAACAAGAAGACAAGCAATTCTATTTTTTTAAGTGGGCAGAAGACATGGACACCTACACTTGACCAAAGGAGACATTCAGGCCACCAACATACACACCTGAGGAAATGCTTAAGATCACTGAGAGGTGAAAATCAAAACAGCAATGAACGATCATCTCACCCTGTCAATAATGGCGAGGGTGTGGGGCACAGGAATTCTCTTATTGGCTGCTGGATTGTAAAATGGTATAATCATGGTAGAAAATGGTATAGACTTCCTTAGCAAGTTAGAAATAGAGATGCCATGTGACTAGGTAGACATCCTAGAGAAACCAGAGCCGCAAGATCAATAGTTAAGGGTGCACACCCATGTTCGTCATAGCATCAACCCCAACAGCATAAAGATGGGCAGAACCCATGTATCCATCAGGGGAGGATGGATCACCTATGGTTCAGACACACAACGGAATATCACACAATGTTAACAAGTAACAATGAATCCTTGAAACAGCTCAAAACACGGATGAAGTGGGAGGGCGTTCTGCTGAGCGAACTAAGTCCATCACAAAAGGGCAAGTCCTTCATGAGACCACTCACAGGGAGGGGAAACGTCCCTTGATGTGGACGCGCCCTAACCTGGATGAAGGGGCAGGTAATGTGTAAGCGTGAAAGGCACCAGCGGTACGTATTATTATTTATGTGTATAAACACACACACACTTGCAGGAACAGTAATAACCATCGTACAAGTAGACACAGAGGCACATAGGTCCACTGAACAGGAGTGGGAAGGTGTGAGGGAGCACAACACAGGTATGGCAGAGGACATTCCCAAATACATTTTAATGTGTGCTGTAAATATATTCAGGTATACAGTGGAACATATAGAGGGCAAAGTTAAGCTAACTTCTTAGCCCAGACCAAACACCTTGAAGGGCTGAGTTACTAGGCTTGAGGGTTTAAGACCACAGTCTTGGGGCACATCTAGGTCAATTGGCCTAACACAGTCCAACACTAAAGGCGTGTAAGAGAACAGCAAGGGGAGCAAAGCAATGCAGTCTCTGGGGAATACCAAAAATAGACTTTGGAGAGAGGGCATGGCACCCAATTAGATTCGACCAGAAAAAAACACTCCTAAAGGTCAATAAACAAACCTGGAACTATTTATAGGCTTTTCTTTTTTTGTCATTGGTTTTTGTTGTTTTGGTTTTTCACTTTGTTTTGCTCTGTCTTGTTTTTGTGTTTATTATTGTCTCTGTAGGTCTATCTAGATAAGATAGGTGGGATAAACAATCTGGAGGAGAAAACAATAAAACAGTGGAACCAATAGTTGGGAGGGGGGAGAGGAGAACGACATGGGAGACAGGGAGGCAGGGGAAAGGAAAGGGGTTGTCAACAAACCCAAGGGCAAGGAAACAACAAGAGATCTAAAATTGATGGAGATGAGGGCATGGGATGCATGGTCAAGGGCAATGTAGCCAAGAGGCATTACTGAAACCCCCATGAAGGCCGAACAATAGTGGGACAAGCGGAAAGTTAAAGGAAACAGAGGAAAGAACTAGGAGGCAAAGGACATTTATAGGACATATGTATATATATTTATATATAATGATAGGGAATTAGATCTATGTACATATATTTATTTGTTAAGTATTAAGGCAGCAGAGGGACATTGAGCCTCTAACTCAAGTAATCCCTCGACGCAAAAACACTTTGTTCTAATAACCCAGCATGCTGAGATGCTCACCTTCCCTGACAAGATCACCGAAGACAAAACGGGTGCATAAGCAAATGTGAAGAAAACTGATGGTGCCCAGCTAT